GATTAAATTTATGTATTTATAGAGTTTTGAAATCTTATATTATTTATATAATTTAAATAAAAAATATATTTATTAAAGAAATGCTATTAAGATATAGTTAGCAACTATTTAAAAATATATAATAAAATTGTCTATATTTTAATAATGGGTCTAATTCAAACTCTCACATCTATTACAAATATTTATTTAACAAAAAGACAAAATAGGAAACAAAGTAAATTGTTTCCCATACCCCACACTTAAACTCTCCATTGTCCTCAATGTATACTTTATATATAGAAATGCAAATAAAAAGTATGATGGTACTTACCTCCTTCATGGTGGAAGGAATGCTAGTAGGACTTCATTGAAAATGTCATTCTGCATCGGAATGTTATTTTTTTTCTTTTTAATCCTACTAAGATGATCAACTATTAAATTATGTATCCTACTTCTGTCCTGAATAGGAGTCAATTTGTTTTTTTATCCAGGTTTTAGTTTCTGTTAGCAGATCGGCCCTGCTGCAGCAATGGTCGATTTAAATTTCCTGTTCTGTGGAGTTTGGCCCCTGGCGATCGCACTGGTCAAATCCAGGTTTTTATTTTTCTGTTTATCGGTCCCTCCGCTTGGCAATGGTCGGTTTTTAATTTCTATTCTGTGAGTTTGGCCTTGCCGAGGCAATGGTCGACTCTCTGTGTTGCATCAAGACACTTTTCTTTGAATTCAATTATCGTATTTGCTGGATAAGTTTTTTATTCTTCCATCTGTTCTCTCTTGGAAATCCAGACGAAATTAATGTTCTTTCTTTACTTAGCTTTACTCTGATAATACGAAAATATCAACTTTTCATATTATCGAGTAATATTCATAATAAGAGGTGCAGCTGTCAACACCCAATTCGTCCGGGTTGACGATAAATAGTGAGTCCTCTTTTGATTTTGCCTTTTTTACTTTAGTGTTTTATACATTTAAATTCTTTTTTATTTTATTTTATTTTCGTTTTATTATTATTTGACTATTCTATATGAGTATTGTAAAAAGAGAAAAAAAAAAGACAACAAGAATAAAAAAAGAGAGAGGCAGATCCGTAACCCCATTTTCTCAAAAGAAAAAAAATCGTTCCTCCCCCACCACACGGACAACACGCTTCCCTGGATTTCCACCCCTCTGTTCCTCACACAACCTAACCACCTCAACAACTTGGCCTTTTTTCACTCCCAAACTCCAGTACCTCTAGGGGATCCATTCACCTCTGAAAAAAAAAATCTCCGCCTCCACCAGTTTTTAAGACTACCATCACTTCACGGCACTGGTGGCACCCCAATAACGATCCCAGACACCACGCCTCAGATTGACAAAAAAAAACACCATTCCCCCATCTTCATCACCTTCATCTCAAAACACCATCTCCAACTCATCAACACTCCCCGCCAAACACCCATCCTCCATACTCACACTCACAACAAGCCATATTCTCACATCATCCTTATTTACCATAAAACGGCCCATCATTTGTTTTCTTCTTCTCATTTTCATCACTCACGGTTACTGGAAATTCCCCCAACAATGGCCTAATTTCAAACTCCCTCTACACTTCCCATACCTCTGTACACACCGAAAGAACCCTCTACTCACTCCAATCCCATTATCATCATCAACCCTGACTTCTCATACAAAAATCCCCCAATACCTTTTTCCTGCAACGAAAAGAGAATCAATCCAAGCACTCAATCATAACAAGCAGAATGACCACATTAGCGCACACACACAATAATCGTTCCCAATCCAGTAGACCAAATATCAGACAATACTGACAATCAATGAGTTGATAAAAAAAAGGATGGAGAAGAATGAATGCCGCGACGGCCTGCGGTGGGTTGGCTCACTGAGGTGGCGTCGGGGGCGAGAGTCCTCTCTCGCACTCAAAGAGCGGAGAGAGAAGGGAGTGGGGCGGAGCGGAGTTTGGGCTGGGACGCTGGCTCCGGCGTGCGGGGGTACCGGCGGACGCACGAAGGGCGGTTCAAACAAACGGTGGTCTGGTTCGAGGAAGCTTGGCGTGGCAACCATTGGATCTGTGGTCGGCGATCAGCGCATGGTGGCGTCCAGTTTGGGTGGCGGCTGGCCGATTTGGCGGAGGCGGCAGTGTGCGTAGCGGAGGTGACGACCCCTTCATTCGGAGTTTCTGTGGCTGGGAGACAGAGAGATTTGGATTTCGTATGGGGCATATTGAAAAATGGAAGAATGTAAGGTATGAACAGACCCCTAATGGGATTTTTGAAATAAAGAGTCTTTGGACCTCAGCTATTGGGGGCCACGGTCCTTTTCCTCCTGCCACATAGCAACAATTTCCATTCACACCACCCCACTGCCAATTCTCGCACCCTGTCCGTTTTGGGCTTCAAGCCCATTCTGTTTCTGCTTCTAACAAAAATAAAAGAAAATTGGGCCTGTGACACACTATTTCGGGATGCACCTCCAGTTTCCACCTTATACCCCTGACAGATACAAAGTTGGAGAAAAAAGGTTTGGCCCACAACTAAAGAGCTCACTTTCACGGTCGCACCTCTGGTTTTTTTAATCTCGACACCCTATCTTGTGGGCTGTTTCTCTTGCCTTCTTTTTATGCTTTTGTTTCTTTATTTTTATTAGCATTTGTTTTGGTTATTAGTTTTTAGTATGTAACACCCGTTATATGATAACCCCACTCTGATCTTGTCTTTTATTTTTTATTTTGGTTTATTTTGTGCATTTTAAACAAACACGAAAAAGACGATATAAAAAAATAATAAATAATATTATAAAAAAAATATGTTTTGAAAGGTTAGAAACCACGTGTTGATCGCCGCATCGCCTTGTGCTAAAACCTTTCCCTCTTTCTTAACTAAAAATTACAAAAATCTGTTTCAAAGGTTAACGCACACGTGTGATGCTCGCATCGTCCTTGTGCTAAAAAAAAACCTTTCTTTTTCTTAAATAAAAATAAAAAAATCTGTTTCAAAGGTTAAGCACACGTTGATCGCTCGGCTCGTCCTTGTGCTTAAAAAAAAACTTTTCGTTTTCTTAAATAAAAATTCAAAAAGTATGTTTCAAAGGTTAAGCACCGTGTGATCGCTCGCAATCTCCTTGTGCTAAAAACCGTTCTCTCTTTTAAATAATTAAAAATGAATAAGTACCGCTGCGATCGTCGCACTCAGCCTATCTGATATATCTTCAATCTACAAAAATTTAATAATGATAGAAGTCACTGCGTGCGATCGTCCGCTCAGCCTAAGTACTTATATCTTCAATCTAAAAACATAGAAATAATGTATGAGTGCTCGTGCGATCGTCCGCATCAACCTAGCACTCAATACTCTCAAGTCTTCCTAAATAAGTAGATAACGGTATGAGTGCTGCGTGTTGATCGTTNCGGTATGAGTGCTCGTGTGATCGTTCGCATCGTCCTAGTGCTTAATATCGTTATTTCTCTTTTAAAAAATAATTAAAAATATTTAAATACCATTCTAAAGGTATGAGTACTCGTGTGACCGTTCGCGTCGGCCTAGTACTCATTACCTTCTTTTTCTCGAAAATGTCAAAAACAAATATATAAAATTTTCAAAAAACTAAAAACATCAACACTCTCAAACAAACAAACAATCTTTCCGCTAGAACTACGTTACCCTTGATTCTTCACCAAAAATGGAGATACGTAGGAGCAAGGCCAGTCCTTGTCAGGTTCATTTCCCAAAAATACAAAATCATTTCCAAACAAATTTCTCAAACAGTTTCAGAAAGAACTACGTAACCCTGATTTCTCATTTTGAATGAGAATACGTAGGAGCAAGGTCAATCCTTGTCGGGCCCACAAAACTAAAAAATATATTTTGTTTATTTAGAATTTTATTTTAGGGAATAATTAAACATTTTGAAAACCACATCACATTCGCGCATTTAGTTAAAGGTACTGCCTTAGGGCAGGCGTTGTAGGGTGCTAACACCTTCCCTACACGTAACCGACTCCCGAACCCAGAATCTGGTTTTCGTGGACCGTGTCTATTTTTTTTATGGTTTTTCCGTAGTTTTCCAGAATAAACTATGGTGGCGACTCCAAAATCTCTTTTCCAAATTCGTTTCTTTTTTGGATCGTCGTCCCGTCGCGATTCCGGTTGCGACAGATGGCATTGACTACAAAGAGACATTCTCTCCTGTTTCTAAGAAGCACTCTTTGAGAATTGTTTTAGCTTTGGTGGCTCATTATGATTTAGAGCTTCACCAAATGGATGTAAAGATCGCTTTTCCGAATGGTGATTTAGAAGAGGAAGTTTATATGGATCAACTAGAAGGTTTCACAATAACAGGAAAATATAATTTGGTGTGTAAATTGAAGAAATCAATATATGGATTGAAACAAGCTTCCTGACAATGGTATCTAAAATTTAATGATACCATAACTTCCTATGGTTTTGTATAGAACACTGTTGACCGGTGTATATATATATATACATATATATATATATATATATATATATATAAAGATTAGTGGGAGTAAGTTTGTTATTTTGGTTCTATATGTTGATGACATTCTTCTTGCTGCTAATAATATTAGTATGTTACATGACTTAAAGAAGTTTCTCTCTAGCAACTTTGAAATGAAAGATATGAATGATGCATCTTATGTGATAGGAATAGAAATATTTTGTGATAGATCACAAGGATTGTTAAGTTTGTCTCAAAAATGCTATATTAACAAAGTGTTTGAGAGATTCAGAATCGAAAAATGCTCACCTGGAGTAATTCCAATTCAAAAAGGGGACAAGTTTAGTCAAATGGAATGTCCCAAGAATGATTTGGAACGAAAGGCCATGGAGTCCATTTCTTATGCATCAGTAGTTGGGAGTTTGATGTATGCTCAAACTTGTACTCGGCCAGATATCAGTTTTGTTGTTGGAATGTTAGGCCGATATCAAAGTAATCCTAGAATGGATCACTAGAAAGCTGCAAAGAAAGTTCTTAGGTACTTACAAGGTACCAAAGAATACATGCTCACCTACAGAAGGTCAGATCATCTTGAAGTGATTGGCTACTCGGATTCAGACTATGCTGGATGTGTGGATTCAAGAAAATCCACATTTGGGTATGTTTATCTATTAGCTAGAGGAGCAATTTCTTGGAAAAGTGCAAAACAATCAGTCCTTGCTACTTCCACCATGGAGGCTGAATTCGTGGCATGCTTTGGGGCCACGGTTCACGCTTTGTGGTTGCAGAACTTTGTATCGAGGCTTGGCATTATTGACAGTATTGCTAGGCCCATAAGGATTTATTGTGATAATTTTGCAGTCATCTTCTTCTCTAAAAATGACAAGTACTTAAAGGGTGCTAAACACATGGATTTGAAGTATTTGTCGGTCAAAGAAAAAGTGTAGAAACATAGAGTGTTGATTGAGCATATTGGTACTGATTTTATGATAGTAGATCCGTTAGCTAAAGGACTCCCGCCCAAAACTTTTTCTCCCGACAACCGTTGAGCAGAGTTAAGGTGCAATTAATGCCACAACGACTGTTGTTAGATAATTAAGGTTTACATTAATGATCATTAAAAGGTAAATTAATTAGTCATATTCCTTTAAACTTTATATATAAGGGTTTAATCTCGAGGTAAACTCACTTTGACTCATTATTAAATTACTAAAGACCTACATAGAAAAATTCTTACTTGAGTGTCGGAGTGTCTTCTGCATGTCACCCCCACACACCGATCGATTAACTAGAGCAAGGAGAAGGCAGGACGCTCGGCTGCGACAGGAACTCTTCAGATGGTCCTCGCCCATTCCAGCATAAACAACAAGTTTTGAGTAGTTATATTTTGTGCTTTTAAGAATATTATAACAGAAGTTGGAAAATTCATAAAATGATTTACTTTGATTTTGAATTTTCTAGTTAAAGTGGGTTGAAGTATTTGAGTTGGAATTGAATGTTTTAAGATACTTTAATATTAACAAAATGAGAAAATGCAAAGTTTTCTTACTCTTTCTCTTTTTTTATCTCGTGACTTAACAGATGTGTATATATATACTACAATTAATATAATTAGGTTTTGAGTATTCTCCAAAGTTTTCAAAAGAGAAACTTTCGGTGGTTCATAAGATAATCTATCATCAATTCCTTTAATACTTTTATAATTATGTCCAACACACAACTTCTCATGTAGACATTTGAAAAGGTTGCACGTAACAATAAAAAAGCTAGCAAGAAACCTGGTTAAGTAGAGAGGGAGAATTATCAAATTCATTTAGGAAGAACTATCAAAGTGTCAAAATCACATAAGAATTGAAACATCCAACTAAATGTTATGCAAATTTAAAAGTCTTTGCAGTTTACTCGTTATACTCTTTTGACAACAAATAGAAATTTCAATTAGTTCAAATTAGTTTAATGCACAAGTAAAAAGTAAAAATTAGAAAAATTGAGACGGCTTCCAGAAATTAACTTAGAAATATTAATTCAAAATTCATTTTTTTTCTTTTAAGTGAATTAAGAATTGAAATTAATTTAATTAACATTATATAAATTTTTAAAAAAATATACTTTTCTTAATCTTATAAATTTTGGATTAAAAAAAATCACTTGATTGAGTGGTTATAAAGTGAGAGTAGAGCAAAGAAATGTGGGCACATGAATAGGAAGCATGAAAGGAAAGGAAAAGATGATAGGCATGGAAGTGGGTTTCAATGATTTTTAATTTGCTCCATTTCCATGCATTGAAAAAATGAACTCATTCACTGTGTGTGGCTTGTTTGAGAAGATGACAGAGATGTTGAAGTGATGTGAAAAACGAGACACAACCAATGGGAGAAGTGAGAGATAAACACAAACCCTAGTTTGTTTGGTTTCCGTCTTCTTATGCAATTCCTTCCTTTCCTTTGATGTGACAAATGTTGTACAAACAAACACATCTAGATGCTGACCGATCGGGTCGAACACGGATACATTTGATTTTGAAAAAAAAAATTCATTCGACATATTATCTGTATGAATATTTATTTAAAATAATATTTGTAAATATTTTAAAATCTACGAATTACCTATAAATATCCATAGATATTGGTAAAAATTTTAAAAAATATACTTTTATAAAATATTAAAAAAAAATTTAACTAAAATTACAAAAAATATAAAAAATATAATATAAATTAAATTAAATTTTAATTTTAATTTAATTTAATTTTATAAAATATAAATAAATAATTAAATTTAACTTAATAAAATATAAATTATATTTTTATTTTTACTTTTTAAAGATAGTAAATATCTACAAGTACGGATAATATAATACCTACATATGATTCATTTATAAACGAATATTAAAATACATATTATCTGTAATCCACATATAATAAATATTCGCAGAGATCAACTATCTTGCAGAGAATCAACTATCTTGCAGAGATTTTATTCGCAGATATTTACATGCGGAATTTTTTTTCCATCCCCGAACACATTACTTAACAAACCATTTCTTAAAAAAGACACTCTTTTACAAATTTGAAGGATAAAGCTATATTATTGCACGTATAACCAACAATATCAAAATCAAAATTAATAGTAATCTTAGTCCTGCCACTGCCCACTGAGGGAAGTTGAAGCTTTTTCTTTTCCTTTATTTTATGACCATTTAAAAGAGAACTTAATTAAAGGTGAATTAGAGCTGACCAAATTAATTACTTTAACTTTAAATATAATCAGTTAGTTATATTAATTTCAAATTGGGATTAGATTGGAAAAATTCAGATGTATATAGAATTGGAAAATAGAAAAAATTCACCATGATTAAATTTATGTATTTATAGAGTTTTGAAATCTTATATTATTTATATAATTTAAATAAAAAATATATTTATTAAAGAAATGCTATTAAGATATAGTTAGCAACTATTTAAAAATATATAATAAAATTGTCTATATTTTAATAATGGGTCTAATTCAAACTCTCACATCTATTACAAATATTTATTTAACAAAAAGACAAAATAGGAAACAAAGTAAATTGTTTCCCATACCCCACACTTAAACTCTCCATTGTCCTCAATGTATACTTTATATATAGAAATGCAAATAAAAAGTATGATGGTACTTACCTCCTTCATGGTGGAAGGAATGCTAGTAGGACTTCATTGAAAATGTCATTCTGCATCGGAATGTTATTTTTTTTCTTTTTAATCCTACTAAGATGATCAACTATTAAATTATGTATCCTACTTCTGTCCTGAATAGGAGTCAATTTGTTTTTTTAGTTCTTGACTATTGTGATTCAATAATATGCTAAAACTCACTTTTACGTCTCTTTAATTCTCAAACCCAACAATTTCAATCGTGATAGATTCACTTTAAATCAATCATTTAAGCAGAAGAATCTCACTAAAATTTTAAAGTATAAATGTGAACATAAATATGCACTCTCGCATGATGGTCTTCATTAAATTACATCATATGACATATTTGAACCGAATATGTAGAAAAATTCACTGTCTTTTCATTAAACTAAAATACTTCACTTTTTATTTACTCCCTCCTCAAATTACAATCCATCTATCAACTAAATAAAGGAAGTATAAGTGTTGTATTATTAAAAGAGATTTTAACTATTCAAAATTATTTTATTTTATTAAATACATATAGTTTAATATTTATATTTTTATTTATTAGTTTAATTATTATAGGTAAAAAAAGTAGTAAATTGATATCTCTACATTCAAACATTATAATGGGTTCCTTTATTTGAAAATATATATTTTTTTATTCTTAATTTTTTTGTTTACATATTTTTAATTTGATGTTATATCTGTAACACGGTAATTTTTTTTTCAATGTATAGATAAGATTAAAAAGGATATGATTGGAAATCAAATGGAGGGTTTGTTTAATATTTATTAAAAGATAATGTAGTTTATGTAATGTATGTTGTAATAAAGATATATGTAATTACTATTTTTCATGTTTTGAAGTGAGTAGATTTTGATTGTAAAACTAAATATTTGAAGATATTTGATAAGATGTGGTAAAATAGTACTAACATACAACAAATTTTACTTACAAACAATTTTTGGTACTATATTAAAAAAGTAAACTTTAAATCTCAACTCTACAAAATTGTAAGTTGAGATTTGTAACTACTTGTAAATTAATATTATTTCTAATCTATGTAAAATCTACAATAATGTGTAAGCTTCTAATATAAATTGAACTTTTGTCTTTTAAAAAATAAATTGTTTATTAATAATAAAAATTTGGAATTAAAGTAACTAATGGAAATCGAGATATTAAAAATAAACACTTAATTATATGTTTAATCTAATTTATTTTATAAAAATGTTATAAACTAATACTTAAAATTATGGATAAAGGAAATTAATTTATTTTTAAGTGAATGAGATGAATTTAGTATTCTTATTTTGTTGAGATTCAATTACAAATATTTTATAGAAATTAGTAAGTGCATATTGGATAATATATAAAAGAGAAATATTGTGGATTATAAATTTTAGTTAAATATATTGGTTTGTTTTATTGTGTTGTTAGTTGGTAATTGATTGGTCAAGATTTTTTTTTAAATTGTCCTTATATTAGATAACATATTAATATGTTTATTTTTAGACAAATTTAATGTGAATATTGTTGAGAACTTAAGTGTGAGTGTAAATGTTATATTAGTATAAGCGAAAAAATTTAGCACCATATCATAAAGATAATAAAACCCATTGTTTTAAGGTTTTCAGGTTAAAAGTGATGTTATATGGATTGGATTCACGTCTCTTTAGTGTTGTTAAATCTCGCTAATAAAATTCTCATAGAAAGACTTATCCCTAGAATTAGGGTCGAAGATTTGTCTCGGTAATCGACTCAAACGAAGATAATATGGTCCTTGTATCTAAAGGGTTGTTAGTAAGGTACTCATTGTTAGCTCAAGGAGATGCACTTATGTGAAGGGACTCACTTGGTCAAGAGATTGTTGAGTATCTAAATGTAAGTTTAAATCTCATATTGAGTAGAAATGAGAAATTTGTGCACCATATAAGGAAGAAGACCAATAAATTAATTACTTTAAGCATGTCATGTTATGATGAATGGTGATACATGTAACACGCGGCTAATGGTTTGAAATGCTTTCACTTGAAGAAGATATATTAATATGAAGAGGCTCACACTTAAGTAAAAAAATGTTGAAAATTCAAATATAAATCTAAGTCACACATTGAGTATAAATAATAAAGTTGAATATAATATAACAAAGAATGATAAATGAAGTGAAGAAGATATATAACTGTGAAGGGCTGACACTTAAGGAAGAAAATGTTGAAAATTCAAATATAAGCACATTAAGTAGAAATAAAAAAGTTAAACATCATAGAATTAAGAATGATAAATG